CCGTAGCGGGGCTGCAGGGTCAGAGGTTAGAAGGAAAGGGGGTGACCTGGCCTGCATCCCGGCTCACACGCACGCACGCCAGACCGCAAATTCGCACCCGGCAGGCTGGCACCCGCCGCAGTCTGCACCATCCCCCAATGCCTGGAGAACTTTGGATTTTTCCAGGAAATGGCTTAAAGGGAGGGGGAGGGGAGAGGGTGCGGAGGCCAGAAGCCGGGGTCAAGTTCAGGAGAATGAGGGGCGGGCGCCGCTCCCCAGTCGTCCCCCACACCAGCGCTCACCTCCCCTCCATCCCAGTTGGAGAAGAGCGTCAGGCGCCTCCGGGAGAAGTTTCATGGAAAAGTGTCCCCCAAGAAGGCAGGGGCTCTTATGAGGAAGTTTGGCAGCGACCACACCGGAGTAGGGCGCTCTATCGTGTATGGTGAGTCCGCCCAGGGGGTACTGCGTGGGTGTGGTTGTCGCTCGCTGTAGCGACCCTGGCTCCCCTTGACAGGAGGCTCTCCACCACCTGGAACTCCTACTCACCCTTCAAGAGCCCTTCCCATATTTCCCCACTAGGTGTCAAGCAGAAAGATGGACAGGAGCTGAGCAACGATTTGGACGCTCAGGTAACCTGAACTCCCTCTCTCCTCAAAGAGAGATACTGTGAGAGCCCATCTTGCTATCTAAGTTCCTTCCTTGTCCGAAGCAGCCTGCAAACAGTAGGCGCTCATTATGTGCTGATTGCCTCAGATGGAGGAGGAGACAGGACAGTCGGATAAGGAGGTCCTGGCTGTTGAGGAAGGCTCAAGGAAACTAATTCTACCTTTCACTAGAAGAAAGGCTGGGCTGGCCTGGGGGGGAAAGAGGTCCCAATGGAGGAGAAGGGATAAATTCATAGAATCACTTCTGTGGCTGTACCCTGTGTGCTGAACTTGCTTGAAAGGCTTGCCAAAGTTTTGTTTTGTTTTGTTTTTTTGAGACAGGGTCTCACTATGTAGCCCTGGACTGTCCTGAAACTCACTTTACAGGCCAAGCTGGCTTTGAACTCACAGAGATCCACCTGCCTCTGCCTCCCAAGCACTGGGAATCAAAGGCGTGCACCACCATGCTGGGCACCTAAAAGAATCTGACAAATCATATTCCTTTGGTTTAGGTCTATAAGGAATATGACAAATTAATAATAGAAGGAAGTTGCCTTCATGGAGAGAGCCTGAGGGGCAAACCTCCAGGCCTTGGTTCATTTCATATCCCTTTCTTCTGCTTCCGGGAGGCAATCCTATTACACAAGAAAGCTCAGGCTCATGACATTTCACCAAGTTCTGGGGACCAGCATTTGACTTCAGGGATTCAAATTCTAGCCATTTGCAATGAAGCTCGGGCTCTGAGAGGCCCTTCTGTGAGAACCCTCAAAGAGAGGGACTTGCCCACCATCCCCATCTGGGAGCAATAGAGCAGCCAACCGGTTGCAAGCCCCCAAACTGGAGCCTTTTAAAGCCATGTGGCCAAGGAGCTGAGAGATACCTCAGCTGTTGAGAGCACTTGCTGCTCTCACAGGGGACCCTAATTCCATTCTCAGCACCTACATGGGACAGTTCACAACCACTCCAGTTCCAGGGGTATCTGACACCCTCTTCTGGCCTCTATGGGCACTACACATATGTACATGTACACAGACATACACATTTTTAAACTTTTTAATCTTTAAAAGCTATGTGGCTTCAGTGGCCAGGTGTCACATGTGTGGCCTCTGCAGATTGAAAGGTCATCCAGGGCTCTGGGTTCCATGGGCCACGATCACTGAGTGGGTTCAGATTCTGGGAAATGAGACTAGCCAAGTATTTGCTTCTTAAGGATCTTTGGGACTTCATTCATTGTAGGCACTGGCTCTATCTGTCAACACAGGCAATAATGTTTCATCTCTGTCTGAAGTCCAGGAGCCCCATGCAGGGGCTTCTCCCCCATTCAACATGGGTATAGGACTCCTAGATAGAGCCTTTCCAGTCTCTGTACTCCTTTTCCGTGTCTCCCCTCAGGACCCACCCGAGGACATGAAGCAAGACCGAGATATCCAGGTGTGTTTTTTGGCTGGGATGAGGCAGGATGGATAACTGTCCAAGGTATATAGCAGTAAGGATGGTCGCTGTGGGCTCCACAGGCAGAGGTGACCCTGTTTTGTCCCCATTCATCCATGTTTCAGGCAGTGGCCACCTCTCTGTTGCCCCTGACAAAAGCCAATCTTCGAATGTTCCAAAGAGCCCAAGACGACCTCATCCCTGCCGTGGACCGACAGTTTGCCTGCTCCTCCTGTGACCACGTGTGGTGGCGCCGTGTGCCCCAGAGGAAGGAGGTGGTACCCCAGACTTACTGGATTCCCTCCTGTACTCCACTCCTGTTGTCTGTGTCCAGAAATTATTTTTATGACTGAAGGTCATCAGCTGCATGTGTGTGTTCATTCATGCATTCATTTGTGTGTGTGTGTGTGTGTGTGTGTGTATGTGTGTGTGTGTGTGTGTGTGTGTTCACGCGCCAGCTTGTGCCTGCCTGTATGCATGCAAGCATGAGTGTGCATGTGGAGGCCAGAGTTTGGTGGTGGTATCTTTCTTTCTCAGTTGCCCTCCATCTTTTTTTTTTTAGAGAGAGAGATTTATTTATTATGTATACAACATTCTGCTTCCATGTATATCTGCACACCAGAAGAGGGCACCATGTGGTTGCTGGGAATTGAACTCGGGACTTCTAGAAGAGCAGTCAGTGTTCTTAACCTCTGAGCCATCTCTCCAGCTCCATCTTATTTTTTTTAAACAGGGTCTCTCACCGGTTCAGTTAAGAGGTTGGCTAGCATGGCCCATGAAACCTCCAGTTTCAGCCTGCCCAGCACTAGGGGGTTGTGTGCATTTAGCCATGCCTGGCTCTTAGATGGGTGTTATGGATTTGAACTCAGTCCCATGAGCACAGCAGACTTTACCCACTGAGTCATCTCTCTACCCTTCTGTGTTTTTTTAGGTTTGGGGGCTTATTTATTTTATGCATACTAGTATTTTGCTCCTATGTATGTCAGTACACCACAGTGCCAAATGGGTGCTGAGAACTGAACCTGGGTCCTCTGCAGGAATAACAAATGCCCTTAACCATTGAACCATCTCCCCAGCCCCTTTTGTTTTTTTGAGAGGGTCTCGTGTAGCCTAGGCTGCTCTCAGACTCAGTATGTAGCTGAGGATGACCTTAACTGCTAATCCTCCTGCCTCCACACCTGGTTCATATGGCCTGGTTTGGGTCATAACCAGGGGCTTCATGCAAGCTAGGCAAGCTCAACTTCAATATCCATCTGGAGCCATTCATCCTTGAACTTGAGAAGTCAAACCCTTGGCTTTGACAGCTGGGGCAGAAATCAAACCCAAAGCTAGTTTCCTAACCTCTTTCCTTTTTTTCTTTAGACAGGGTCTCTCCATGTAGTTCTGGCTGACCTGGGATTCAAAGATCCACCTGCCTGTGCCCAAGTGCTAGGCTCCGCCGGGCAGTGGTGGCGCACGCCTTTAATCCCAGCACTCGGGAGGCAGAGGCAGGCGGATCTCTGTGAGTTCCAGACCAGCCTGGTCTACAAGAGCTAGTTCCAGGACAGCCTCCAAAGCCACAGAGAAACCCTGTCTTGAAAAAACCAAAAAAAAAAAAAAAAAGTGTGGGCCACCACACCCAGCTAGGCTTCCTAATCTTTTGATAATCAGTATACTTCTGATAAGCGCTGAGGCTATGGTGCCATTAGCATGGCAATAGCATAGCATTCATGAAGGCCTGGGTTCCATCCCCAGCACTACATACTAGGTAGAGCGGTGCAGGCCTGCGATCCCAGCACTTAAGAGGTGGAGGCAGGAGGATCATGAGTTCAAAGCCAGCCTGGGCCATGTGAGACATGTCTGTCTGACACGTGGGCCCTTCCCTGCTCTCAGGTGTCAAGGTGTCGCAAGTGTCGGAAGCGTTATGAACCAGTGCCAGGTGACAAGATGTGGGGCCTGGCCGAGTTCCACTGCCCAAAGTGTCGTCACAACTTCCGGTGAGGGTCCTGTCCCACCCCAGCCCACCCTCAGCCCAGCCCTAGCCTAGTCCCCTCCTCCTGTCCCCTGGGGCCCAGCTGCCCCCTCAGCCCCTCACAGCCCTGCTGGCCCCCAGGGGCTGGGCACAGATGGGGTCCCCATCACCCTGCTACGGGTGCGGCTTCCCCGTGTACCCCACTCGGATCCTGCCCCCACGCTGGGACCGTGACCTGGATCGGCGCAGCACACACACCCACTCCTGCTCAGCTGCAGATTGCTACAATCGCAGAGGTGAGGCCCTGGTGTATTCCCTACATTCTTCATCTCCTGTATATTGACCCCTGGCTGCTTCCTCCTTCCATGAGTCCTCCATGGCTCCCTGGAGCTGACTGCTCCCCCACTCCTCCCATGGATTTTCCAAGCAGCTCCACACTGTCCAGCCTGTTAGGCCCATGGTCCCTATTACCTGTGAGTCTGTTTTTGTGGCCAAGTTCCCATCTTGCCAAAGAGTTTCAACACCTCTGACTTCTTTGTCATTTGGCTCCAGTGGGTTCCTGCAGAGCCCCAGACCCTCTTATCTCCAGAGTCTCAGACCTCAGCAACTCTCCTTCCCCTAGAGCCCCATGTGCCTGGGACTTCCTGTGCCCACCCCAAGAGCCGTAAGCAGAACCACCTCCCCAGAGTGCTGCACCCCAGCAACCCTCACATCAGCAGCGGCTCCACAGTGGCCACATGCCTGAGCCAAGGTGGTCTCGTGGATGACCTGGACCATCTCATCCTGGAAGACCTAAAGGAGGAGGAGGAGGACGAGGAGGACGGTGGGTCCCGAGAATGACCCTGGCCACACACACACACACAGGAACGACAGACACAATCAATGTGTGGACACATTGTGTTGCTATAAGATACCAGCTCAAGGAGATAGAAATACCCTTGGGAGTACTCATGGGACAGTCACCACCGCACAAGCCGGGTCAGCATAACAGCCTTCTTGAGAGAGTACGCCCCACCGCGGAACTCGGCCCAGTAGACCCCGTCCTGGTAGCGGCTCCGGTAGTGACCTCCATGATACCACACACCATTGAGGTTGGAGTGGGCACAGGCGTGGTACCACCAGCCCCCACGATGGTACAGGGCACAGTTACCTGAGGGCAGAGACAGAGTTTGTTTTCCCACCAAAATAAAAGTCTCTATCAGCATTTCTTTGTGCAAGCATCCCTCAACCTTCCGTATCTTATTGAATAGAAGCACTAATCCTCCATCTCCTCACCAAAATAAAAGGCTCTGGCTTCTCACTTTCTTCTTCAGAGTAATGATCTTAATTCTCTATCTCTTTATCAAAATAAGAGGCATGCCTTTCCCATATTTTCTGCAAAGTAGTAATCTATCATTTATTCCTTTGGGGGGGGGCTTCTGTTTCCTTTCTAGGTGGTTTATTCAAGGTAGACTGGCACATACCTGTAATCCCAGTATGTGGGAGGCAGAACAAAGAGGTTTGGAGTTTCAGACCACCCTGGGCTTCTTAGTGAGATCCTATCTCAATAATACACGTGGGCTAGGATATAGCTTAGATTGTAGGGGGGCCCAGCTCTGTCCCCCACCAAAAGAAACTTTGCTTTCGCTCTCAGCCTTCTCACAGTGCAGGGTGCCTAGGTCTTACTCATCAGAGAAGAATTGGGGCTCTGCCCCCTCTTTTTCTCTGCTTAGCACAGCCATCTCCTTACACTGAAGTACTTACCTGAGAGGATTTCTTGCTGAGACAGGGTATCCTGTAGCCCAGGCTGATCTTGAACTTGCTATCCCAAGGATGACCTGGAATTCCTGCCCCTCTGGCCTCCATCTCCTAGAGCTAGGACTGCAGGCCTGTGCCACCACACCCAGCTCACCAGAAGGAAACTTTACATTTAGTTTTAGTATAGGTGCCTACAGAGGCTAGAAGTACTGGATCCCCTGGGGCTAGAGCTACCCAGTGTGGGTGCTGAGAATCAAACCCAGGAGGAAGAGTTTGTGCTCTTAACTGCTGCACCATCTCCACCTCCCATAGGGGAAAACTTCACTTTACTGCTTTTCACTCTAACCAGATTAGCTGCCCCACCTTCCCGCCCTCCCACCAGAATTTTTAAAAAAGCTCTCCTTACCAGAATAGGAGTCTCGGTCCCTGTCCACAGTGCTGAACGGTTTGTCATTGTGCCAGGAGAGGGAATCCCCAGCATCACCATGGTACTGGCCAAGCCGCAGACGGTAGTGGTCACTCTCAGGTTCCAAAGAGAAGCTGTCATAGTGGGCTCGTGCCCCACGGCCACCCCAGTCCTCTAAGAGTATCAGCAGCTCATGGTCCCCACGGCTGGTCACCTGATGCACTGGTTCCAAGCCAAGCCAGTATTCCCCATCTGGCCTCCCAAAGCCTGCCTGGAAGGGCAGGAGGAGCAGGAGGTCAGGACAGGGTGACCCCCCATGCCCAGCGGTCTCCATCACCCCTGCCTCAAGCACCCACCTTGTAGTGCTGCCAGTTGGTGAAGAAATTGACCGAGCCATCTTGCCGCCTCTGGATGACGGTCCAGCCTCCGCCCTCCTGCTGCTGTTCACACCACACTGATAGCACACGTCGGCCCAGTCGCAGCTCATACACTCCACTCTGCCTGTGACCTGCCCCGTGAGCCTCTGCACAGTCCCTCCACGGGCCTGTGGTGAGGTGCAGCATGAGCCAACCAGGCAGGCCCTTACTGGATCAGAGTCCTGATTCTCACCAGTACTCTTACCCAAATAAAAGCCATCTCTGTCCTCATCTGAGGAAGAGCCATTTCCTTACCAGTTCCTCTCCTCTCAATAAACAGTCCTATGAGCCAACTTCTCACCAAAGTAGCAGTCCTAATCGTTCATGCCCTCATCAAAATAAAAATACCCCATGCCTATCTTCTCTTCTTCCTATTTTCACACTCAGTGGTTTAAGAGCCTTGACTGCCCTCCTGGAGGACCCAGGTTCAATTTCCAGCACCCACATGGAAGCTACCAACTGTAACTCCAAGCTCTGACACCCTCACACAGACATAAATGCAGGCAAAACACCAATGCACAGAGAAAAATAATTTAAAAAAAGAGGATTTGGAGCCAGGTGGTGGTGGCGGTGGTGTACACCTTTACCCCCAGCACGAAGCAGGCAGAGGCAGGCAGATTTCTGCGAGTTTGAGACCAGCATGGTCTACAAGACTTACTTCCAGGACAGCCTCCAAAGCCACAGAGAAACCCTGTCTTGAAAAACAAAACAAAACAAAAAAAAAAAAGAATAGAGGATTTGTTTTGTTTTGTTTCTTTACTGTTGGAAGGATCTGAAAACCTTGGTGCTCTATCAATGAACCACATCTCCAGGCTGTTCTTTTCACAGACTAATAGTCCTTTCTTGTCCCCTCATCAAAATAAGAGCATCATTTCCTCTAGTCCCCACACAATGAGCCAAATCCTAACTCTAGTATTTCCATCTACCCACATCACACTGGAACCCCTGAGTCTTCATCTTGTGTGCATGCCTTGTGCCTGTCTTGACTTACCCACTGGTCTGATGGAAACAGCAAGGTGCCCAGTAGGCAGGGGAGGAGATGGGGGCTCCTGCTGCCTCAAGCTCTGATCTCTCTGGTGCTCTGGAGTTTGGTCCAGACTCCTGCTGGTGTTGCCGGCACTGCCCACTAGACTCAGAGGAGCCAGAGGCACCAGAGGCAGTGGTAGGACCTGGGGACACATAGTCAGACATAATGACATTAACCCTCAGCTGAGGAGTCCAGGTATCCCCTGGCATAGGGGTGGGGTGGGGGGACAGGCAGGGTCAGTAGATCAAATCTCCCACCAGAAAAACAGAAAATAAGACAGGGTAATGTCTCAGTGTTACCACCCACCCTACCGAAAGTCTAGCTCTGGGCTTTTTGTTGGTAGGGTATACATTCAAAGAATGGAGGGCAGAGGAAGGCACTGGGTTTCTTGCTCTGTTGCTCTTCCTGTTCATTTCAGATGGGATCTTTCACTGCACTTGAGTTGGCCTGGCAGCTAGCAAGCCACAGTAAACCTCCATCTGCCCACTCACTGGAGTACAGGCAAGCAGCCTCAGGCTTCCTGTGGTGCTGGGGCTTGGAGCTCAGGTGTTCATGTTCACACATACAGCAAGCACTCTTCCCAACCCTGATTTATTTATTGTGTTTTGTTTTTTTGTTTCAGAAAGATTCTCTGTCCAACTGGCTGGCCTGGAACTTGCAACTACCCTCCAGCCTCTGCCTCCTGTACTGGGGATTGCAGGTGCTGTGTCCCACGCCTGCCTTCCTCTGTGCTTCAGCCCTTGGGGAAGCCAGGCCGATTCCCACTCTGCTGTTGATCACAGCTTCATTGCACCCATCTGCTGAGTGGGGCACATGGACCTTGGATGATGTAGGAAAATCTGCAGAACCACCACCAATCCAGAATTCAGGGCCAACACTGGGGTATAGCTCAGCAGTAGAGCAGTTGTCTCTACTAACAGGAATTAAAAAACAGTCCAAGCCAGACCTGTTGTCAAATGTCTGTCATTCCAGCACTTAAGAGGCAGTGCATGAGAATCAAGGAAATCCTCAGCTACACAAGGAATTAGAACCCAGCTTGGGTTCTAATTAAAAAAACAAAACAAAACAAAAAAAAGCTGGTGACAGGAAGAAATAGCCCAAAGTTCAGAAGCCTCGTGTAGCTACAAGAATATATTGTCTTAGGGGCTGGAAAGCAAGCTCAGCAGTTAAGAGCACTGGCTGCTCTTAACTGAACCCAGGTTCAGTTCCCAGCACCTACATGGTGGCTCACAACTGTCTGTAACTCCAGTTCCAGATGGCTTCTGGCCTATCTGGACACTGCACACACACGGTAAGCAGACATATGTGCAGGCAAAATACACACACACACATTAGGACAAAATTCTTTAAAAACAAGATCAAAGAACAGAATATATATATATATATATATATATATTCAAAAGCCCGGCAATGGTGGTGCACGCCTTTAATCCCAGCACTCAGGAGGCAGAAGCAGGTGGATCTCTGTGAGTTCCAGGCCAGACCTACAAAGCGACTTCCACGAGCTAGGCAGAGAAACCTTGCCTTGAAAAAACAAACACAAAAGAATATGCTGTCCTTGGGTGTGGTGATAGCGAGCGCGAGCCTGGGCGCCTGGGACTATTCTTCTGTGGAGCGGATGAGGCTC